CATCTTCATCAGTGACTTGGACAAGGGGGTAAAAAGCACCCTGTTCAAATTTGCTGATGACACTAAGATGTGGGGGGATGTGGGCACACTAGAAGGAAACAACAGGCTACAGTCTGACCTAGACAGGTTACAAGGGAGGGTGAGAAATGGCTACCCTGGGTGAATTTTTTCCAGGAAGCACCACTGCCTTGCAGCATTGTTAAAGTGCTACAAACATCTTGAAAGGCAGTACGCTCACTTTTTGTAGCATAACAAGGGTGCATTCAGTGTTACAAATGTAACATATAACCAGGGCTTAAGTGTACTTCTATAATTCAGAACAAAAGTATACTGGCATGTTCAAAATATGGGGCTTCTCTTTTCTAAGACAGGACACTGAAGCTTGTGAATCCAAAGTTAATTATGTCAGAACTTTAGGGATAAACTTGATTTCAAGGACTGCCTTTTCCCCATAAGTTTGCATAGGGGCTAGTACAGTGGTACTAGGGCTCCTACAGGCTACTACAGTACAACCTATAAATAATAATAAAGAGAATCCCATGCTACCTGTAACAATTTCAGACCAACAGTGATGAAGGAAACAAAAACGTTCTGTCAGCCACACCAACATATTTTTTTATGACAGAAGAAATGATTATCATAAAACCTGTGTCTAGTTCTGGTTACCCTACTTGTAGTCACATAGCAATCAAATCAGTTCCCTGAAGTACTGTTCACAGAAGCTTTCCTTTTAAGAACTGGAAATTAGAATGTTTAGCATTCTAATCCAGGGGCTCTGATGTGGTATTCACTTTGGGCATCACTCTTTAAAAAACACCCCCATAAATATACACAAACCCCAGTCATTTAAAAAAATTCCATCTTCTTTTCTTAAAGGCTTACATGGCCTTTTCTCATGCAGTCTTTTCTGGCATGGGACGAGGAAGGGTATGACATGGGCCGTGTGTAGACAAAACGAGGGGCATGTGTGCATGACACTTGAAAGCAGACTAAATGCTTTTGCACCACTTTAATGGTGTCAGTGTTTGCATACCTCAGTGGCATATTGCGCATTAATTCCACCCGCTGTAGGAAATTCGGTGGCATGATGCTCCTTAAATGACTTGGGGCACTGTAAACTAAAACTAAAACTAAAGCTGCCCCTACAGCTGCAAAGCAAAGCACCAGGCTCTGAGAAGCTCTGCAGCAATGCAGGAAGCGTTGCAGGCAGCCTGGCAGCAGCCTCTCTGCCCAAGAAAAGTGGTGAGCCTGATCTTTTTTTCCCCCCTCCCTGGAGCCTGCCTGAGCTGCGTGGGGGCCTGGTGCTTCCCTCCATGGCTGCGGTGCCCCCTGGAACAGCCCAAGCCAGGTGACTGCAGGTGGGTGCCATCTGGGGGGCCCGCTGCTGTCGCGGAGGGAAGCACCAACTCTGCCAGCAGCCCAGGGACTGCTCCACCCATGGGCAGCTTGCCCTCCCCACCACAGAGGCAGGTAAATAAGCAGGGCGTGTGCATGACACAGGGGTTTAATCGGCCCTAAATTGAAGCGGTGTTTTTTAAAACCCACCACTTCAAATTTAGGGCCTCCATTTCATCTACACATGCCTATATTCCATAAGTGAAAGACTTTGTAATTTCTGCTCTTGCAATATTTCATAAATTGAACATATAGGTCTTTTCTTGGTTGTACTCAGCCCTTACTTTTACCAATGAAAACCGCGTTCACTTTTAGCTCAGGAAATAATGTCACAGCCAAATTAGCCTCTCCTATTATTTCATGGCTACCATATACCGGTACCTTTATTAACACTGTTCTGTCATTGTCCAATAAATACATACATTAAAATTAAGGATTTTGAGTTTTGAGTATCACAAAGTCCTTTACAAACACTAATCACAACTGCTAACTCTGGTGAAGAATGTATTAAGATACTGATTATACATATATGGAAGTATTAAGATACTGATTATATGAAGATACTAATAATATGATATGGCATAAAATACACCAAAGATAAGCTATGTGCCTCAAGTTACACAAAGATTGTGATACTAATGAAACCCATGAGTTTTAAATTGCCATCCTTTGGTCTAACCACTGGACAAGCTTCCTTTTACAATGAAGTAAAAGCTGAAAATACCATGTAAAGACTAACGTTAAGAATTTGTGTGGTCTCTTTTTGATATGTTTGAAAGAAAGGAAACTTCATGGACACATGGAATCATTAACCATCCACCTTTGACAGGTCTTCCTATGCATGTAGTATGTAGCTTTCATTTAATATGTAGCAATAATTGATTTTAACCAAAAGATATTACTGTGGTTGTTAGAATACAAATATAATGAACAAATGGCATTTAAAACATGAATGTGTTATTCCAATATGCTAGGCAGAATAAATATTATACCTGATAACAACAGATGAACACTGGGCTAGCCGCTTTCCAGCACTTTTCAGTCCTGTATATATCTGACCCATTTCCATAGCTCCTTCCAGACCAACCACTTCCATCAGTTGATCACTCAGATCTGAAACAATGCAACACACTGCTGTTTAAGAAAATGCATATACTTCATCTAGAAATAAATACTGAAGTAACATGACAGATAGGTATCAATAGCAAAAATGACTGTGATAGTGACATCAGATGAGAAGTATAGGGGCGGGGGGGGGGAAGTGTGACAACATTACCTAAATTCACTAGAAGTTAGTTACAGTATTAAGGCCTAGTAAAATTAGATTCACTTGCAAGTCATCCAAAACAACCTACCAAAAAAAAATCTCAAATCAAATAATAAGAAGTGTCCATGGTTTATTATAATATTCAAGGGTATTTTAATATATACCTATAATACTGATTATATTATTATGTGAGGAACTGCACATGACTCCTATTTTGATACCCTAGCACATACCATTATAAAAGATTCTTTAAATCTTTTTTGAGAAGTTGTGTCAACTCTACTGTTTGCAGCAGATCTCTGAAATTTGGTAGAAGAAAAGGCCTTGAGCTAGAGAACTGCCTTATTCTCGTCTCATTAAATTCCATTCAGGTGGCCTTCTACAACTTTAATTTGATGCCTTATATGTAGCATCATAATACAGTGTTTAATTACATGATAACTTGTAATTTTTATGAGACTCGTCTTACAGAGAGCGCACAAGTTAGATATAAAATGGAGCAAAATTGAAGTTGCATAGATAATTATTAATGTGGTATTTCTTTTTCAACTATACACACACACTCTCTATATATGTATACACACAGTGTGTGTGTGTGTATAATTTGGTATTTTCTTTCTTTTTTATATATATATGTGTGTATACACACATATACATGCACATAAGTTGAAAAAGAAAATCCCAAATTTATATACACACATACTATATATACAGAGTGTGTGTGTGTGTGTGTGTGTGTGTGTGTGTGTGTGTGTGTAGAGAGAGAGTTTAAAAATACGCGTGACATTCTTGTTACTTAACTTTCTAAAATTTAATTTAATACACTATTGAAAGTGAAATAAGCACTTCTTGACAACTTCAAGGAATCAGTAGACACAGTTTAGGAGGCAAAAAGCCTCTATAACCATGAATATCAATATTCATACTTGAGACTAGTTTGTGATGCAACCCAAGTTAGCAAAATCCTATTTGGATCCCACTTGCTTTGCTTTGTGCAAAATGTTTTGCAAGTTCTAGTTGAAATGTATGTTGCCAAGAACAGATGGACAGGGAATAGAAACATTTTCTTTCAGTTGTATATTATGCTTCAATGTCCCTTATTTTATAAACTGGCTGTTAATATCCATGCTACCATGTGATAGTCTAGCTAGTGAAGTAGAAAAAAGGTTAAAATCTGAGAGGTTATCTTTATGACGTTGCCAAAGGAAAGGAGAGAACATTATTATTTGCATGTTTTAACTCTTCAACCATTAATGTTGGTGGAATGCATGATAAGTTTTGTAACTAAAGGGCTGTTCTAAAGTTTCAGCAGGAATCTTTAACTTCTTTGGGATTTAGATTGAGGTAATTTACTGAAACCTGTGTACCAAGGGGGACATTTGGTGAAGAATTAGAATACAGTTACTTTAGTAAGTGGTCCAGATTATTCCTTTTCAGTCAGAAAGATTATTGCTCGAAAGTACCTTCATTTTATTTCTCTCCTTGCTCTCTATGTCCTTGCTGTTTCTTTTCAGAGTGAAATTAGTTTCGTACAATGACAGTGCAACAAGAAACACAATCTTTGATTATTATTTTAAAATGTTAGAATAGAAAATAGACCAAAATACAGCAGCTCCTTGGATTTTACAATAGAATCATAGAAAAAAGGCCTGAAAAAGACCTCAAGAAGTCATGTTGTCCAATGCTGTTGGGCAGTATCATCTCTGTCTAAAACACCCCAGACAAAAGCATTTCCATATTCATTTGTTTTCTTATTTTAAAAAACATAAGTTTAACTTTGTATTTATGGTTTTCTATTGCCTGCTTTCTTAAAAATATAATATTCTTTTAAGACTGAAGTTACCCATATGTATATCCAATCATAAATCAAGCTTAAACATATTCCATTTTCATTGATATCCCTAGAGGTTTAAAAGACAAAATATCTTAGATAGTAAAAACACACAACATGTTATAAATGTATTAAATCATGTATTAAATCTGGATAAATTAACATCATAGGTCCATTACTAGGTGATTAAAATTATTTTTTAAATAATGGGAGAATAATTAAGAACAGATTTTTTTTTTACTGACAGCTCATGCAACATATGCAAGATTCAAGATAGTGGCGTTTGCAGTGACATAAATGTGATGCATCATTTTTCAGTTACAGAGATGCTCGTGCCAGTGACAGCAGGTAACTAAGGACGAAATCCTGCCCCTTGATCCACACTACCTACATCCAAAAATTGTGGTTAAGTAAACACTGGAATCCAACAATACAGTTTTGACCTTTGAAAAGCGAGGCCATTTCAAAATATTCACACTTGTAATGAGACAGTCCTCTACAAATGGGAGGAACTTTGGGCCCAACAGGAATATTTTTAGTCGCAATCTTAAACTAATCACTTGTTACTTTCTGATGTACAGTTATCTGACACTACGTTTTATACCTATATACATCCTTCATCTGCTATAATCAATTTTATCCAATACTTAGAAGTTGAAGGTCAGACTTTCAAAAGAGTTTAGATCCAGCACTTCCCAGTGAGAACAACTACAACTGCTGGGTGCTGGGTAATGTTAAAATCAGGTTGTTTCACTGAGATGTGCAAATGTGATCTGAGCTCTAACAGCTAATCGGCCCTGGAGAGTCCCTTGCGATCAGTGCATTAGAAAAGTGATTTCTGACTACTGTCTTTGGGTTCTTGAGTTAGTTTGATCTACTTTAAGCGTTGTAAAAGAACTGAAGGCTCTCACTTGTTTTCTATTTGAATGAGCCATTAGATTGTGTGGGAATGTTTTCACAGCACCATGCCTCTCCTGCCCTCTTCCATAAACCAAACTACTTCACGTGTCTCCTCATATTAGCACCATCAGTAAACAAAGCCAGCTCTCATGAGCGAGTGCTGATGTTAGCAGATTCTGAATAGCATGCAGAGGGGCATCTGACCCCGTGCACTCATTCCTGATGGGGGGATAAAGTCACTAGGGATATTGTCAGCCTACTTCCTCCTCTCAGGCAAGTGGAGGGGAGGAGCACAAATGAAAACTTGCACTAGTAGTCGACAAAACACCATGCATGAATTTGAGCCCTTTACAGTACTTCCTCAACCCTAGAAAAAACACACTTGGAAACCTTAAAGCTTTTCAATGCAAAGTTTATATTGCCTCTTATCTCTGCACTAAATACACACTTCAATATATAAAGTGAATGTGCAATACAATAATACATTTGAAATTCATATATGAAGTTAAGACAAGGAAACCAAACGAGGGTAGGGGGTGGGGAGAAACACACTGTGATTAGAAACAGTGATTTACATAAAGAACTTTCCTTCTGTAATGGAACTGTTTTGATATCCAATTTATCTCTGAAATGTATAAATATTGCTGTCCTGGCAAGAGATTGAAAGACTCTATTATAATTTGGGGTTACTGTACTTACTCAGGCACATTTGCATAAAAACACTGTTGGTCAGTGGTAAATCTGTCTCCGGCGGCACTTTGTCTTCAGAGAGAAAGGACTACATGGCTGACTAAATGTAATTAAACCCTGGTAATCATCATGCTGGAAATTTTTTTGGTTCCAGTTAAAATACAGGATAAGACTTTGAAAACTGGTGTGTTGCCAGAAAGCCCTTGAAAACCTGCTGAGTTCAATGCTCTGCACCACATGAATGCTATAGTATCTGCTCGGAACAGTGCATGTATTAAAAATACAATTTTCCATTATGCAAGAATGTAGGGTCACTCTTATATGCAGAGATAGGAACCGCTGTTGTATGAAGTGCTAAAGATATGCTTAAATCGTAGACTTCGCATGTTTTAAGACAAACAGTTGCTAGATTACTTGGTTAAAATAAATTAGCAAAATCACAGTAAACTCTGCAATCTGAAGATTTTAAAAAAGCAAGGGCTAGCAGGAAACAGAGAAATATACCATAGTACATATTATAATTTATATTGCAATTGAAACTTGAAGCCCAGCTGAAATCAGGGCCCACTTATATTAGCTATGCAGTAAAAATAGAGGGAGACAGACCTTGCCTCCAGGAGTTTATAATCTAAATAGATAAGACAAAGAAAAGGTCAGAGGAAGGAAGTATTATTACTTTAGTTTTATAGAGGGAGAAATGATACATAGATCACAGCTCTGATCTTGCAAAATCTCTCTTTGTGTGTGTGTGTGTGTGTGTGTGTGTGTGTGTGTGTGTGTGTGTGTGTGTGTGTGTGTGTGTGTGTGTGCGCGCGCGCGCGCGTAAAACTTTTTACATCATGAGTGGTCCGTGAAGTTAGTTAGAGTGCATTATGAGTAAGTCTCTGCAGAATCAGGAACTTATTAAACAAGGTCACACATGAAGTTTGTTACAGATAAAGGATCTGAATTCAGTTTTTCTGAAACCCAAGTGAATTATCAAAACTATCCTTTTTCTGAGTAGTGACTTCATGGGACTACCTATGTGAGTAAAGTTCTATACAACATGCATGTCTCCAGCATCTGACACACTTCTGTTCTGTGTGCTGCAGAGTTCTGGTTCTAGTGTGTATGCATCCTATGGTAGCCTATCTGTTAGGGCTGTCCAGCTGGTGGCCTGTAGGTCACATGCAGCCCACAAGGGGTTAATATGTGTCCTCTGGACTCTCATCTGGCTGCTGTTGCCCTTTTTGCTCTGGCTTAAGCAGTAGCTAAGGGCTCAGAGCTCCTTCTCCACCCTTGGGCTTCTGCTGCATAGCCCTGCCTCAGAGGCTGGGGTTGAGAAGCATGGCAAAGTCTGCAGCACCAGAGAAGCCATTGGCCTGGAGCAGTCATGTGGTATGATGCAGTGGAGCCCACAGCTGGGCAACTGGAGGTGAGGCCCAC